TCATAACTCTTGTGATCACAAATTGTGAGGACCCTATACTCTCCATTGTCAAAGTTTTAACACTAACTTTGGAAATTCCTTTATTTGAGAGAAGAGGGGTAGGTTCATTTGTATATAAAGAATATTCTAATTCTAAAATAGTGTTGCTCTTAGAACACCCAGAATAAAGGAAGTGGAGCACTTAAGAGCTGCATAATTGTCCAATTAATATAGAGCCTTTTGTTCATTTCCACCCAATTAGGTTTTCTTTGTGCAATGAAGCTATCTCAACAGGAGTGGGCATCAGTGGGTCTGAGAGCCACAGTCATTTATTCAGGAATTATGAGGGACGTTTAAAAGTGTTGTACATTTAAAAAATGTCACTTCTGTACAGAGATGGATCATACAAAATGTTTTACACTTGACAATTAATAGCAGGATGTATAAAAACCATATTGGTCATGGTAAAGCAGAAACTATGAGTGACGATGTTATTCTTACATCTCTGTGTCAATGACTCTGGGAGCTTGTCCTCACCACTCCTTATGACCTTCCAGACTTGTCACTGCATCAGTGTTTTTGTGCGTGTTGCCTCATCTGACTTTTACATGAACCCTATCAATAGACATTCTTCTTGTACACACAGAAGTGGCAGCTGAGGCTTTGAGAATTTGAAGAATTTTAAGTAACATATTCCACCCCCGTAGAAGATCCTGGATTTGAACCCAGGTCTGTGTGAGTCTGGAGCTGATGTTCTTACTCCTTTCACTTCATTGTCTTTCCTCCTTTAGTCCTAGGCCAAGCTGAGCACTGTGGGTCACATATTGATATTTTTTGCTTTGTAATAAGTGGATATTGACTGATACAAAACCTTACATGGTTTCATTGAATTCTTATTTCGTGGCAATCTCTTGTAACTGGATATGGGGTTGATTGTGCAGACACTAATAGGAATGACCCTGGAGACATAATGGAAATGATTCTTTTAAAGTATGCCAAAGAACAGATATTAACATACGCAATTGTGTATTTGTTAGTTTTATTAACATTGAATTGTTTCTCTTAACTCTAAGTGGCATTCATAAAAATCAGCCTATTTGTAAGCCTCAAAATAATTCCTGTTTTATATTTCACGTATTTTTTCAGCAAAAATACATATGTATACATATACAGATAGTAACACATGCAGATATAAATATGTGCTATTTCACTGATACATTTCAGTTACAGGTACAGATGAGGATCCAATCAACCTGTGAAGCTGTGTCTACATGTGGAAAATAAAGTCAAACTTTGGATAATTATCTGGATGACTCAGTCCAAAGCTTTCTGTGGGTAAGGCGGGTGACTTGAAAATTAGATCATAGTAACTACAATTGGTAAGGGCACTTTATCATAAGCAACATTTTCACATTTTCAAATTTGACCCTCATTATAATCCTGGGAGATGAGCAGGTGAGCTATTAATAGATACACACCTCTCTGATTTATGATAATGTCAAATACATTTGTAACCTCTATGTCCTTAGTAGTTATAATGGATCAGACCTGACCACATTGTGGAAATAATTGACAAATAAATAATAAAGCTTCCAGACTCTGTCCTATATGCAACTTGTTATTTCTATTCCTTACCTACGTGGTAGCTGCCAAATTTATCTGTATTTGTGGAAAGGTCAACCCTACTCTGAAGTTCTTGTTGAAGAAAGAAAATCCCACTCCACTCTCCATTGATCCAGTGGGTGCTGGAGCCACAGATTGTGTGTTTAAACCCCAGATCGAGCTTGTATTGTTTGCTTGAACTTAAATCTTTAAGCATGAGTTTCCAACCAATCAAACAGGGACAATAGGACTATCAAGACTGTGTTCTAGGCAGTGGGTCCTGAGCCCCACATATTTCACTTAGGCACCTGGCAACCCTCTGATATAGGTACTATTATTATTATGATAGTCTTCTCTTCTCATTTTAATATGAAAGATTAAAAATAAACTCACCTTGGAAACACCCTGATATAGGTATTATTATTATTATTATAGTCTTCTGTTCTCGTTTTAATATGAAAGATTAAAAATAAACTCAACAGTGAGGGCATATATTTTGTGTATTAAGCTTACAGCGAGGCATTTTTCAAAGATCATTCTCTTTTATCAAGAACCATTTAATTCATTTAACTGGCCAGTAGAGTTGAGAGTTTCAAATAAATATTTGAGGAGTAGCCATGATTTTCAAGGAGCTTTTAAACTGTTTATTAATTCTTCTTCTATTTGTAGGTGAGGCAGTCTCCAGGTTAGGACGTCATGCTGGTCACCCCTGCTCCAATTCCATGCCAACGGCAGGCATCACTAATAAATTACAGACGTCCTTTTCTCATAACTCAGACATGGCTTCAGAACGCTTCTCAACAATTCACGCCAGGAAGCCACCAGTAAATGATGAAAGCTGGCACTTGAGATCAAAACTATTTCTCTTCTCTACCACATGTGGATGCTTTCCTTCCCCAATATTGAAATTATGGCTCCCTTAAGGCATCCAGTAATTTATCTCCACCTCCTTTCTACCTGACCTTTCACTACTACCTTCAACAATTTTGAGTTTTGTATTCTCAGTGACAACACCAGTCACTCAGATAATTATTTATGTGGATGCTCCAAAGTTGTTGATGACTACACAACTTGAACTGAAGCAAATTTTTCTTTATCATGACTGCCCATTCTAAATGATCACCACTATTGGAGATTTCATGTTTTCCTTGGAAATTATGCACAACCAAAGCTTTGTTACTGAATTTGTCCTACTGGGGCTTTCACAGAATCCAAATGTTCAGACAATATTATTTGTAGTATTTTTGTTTGTGTATATTGCAATAGTTGGGATAAACATGTTCATTGTAGCAACCATTCTCAGCAGCCCTGAACTACTTGGGTCCCCCATGTACTTCTTCTTGGCTTTCTTGTCCTTTCTAGATGCATGCTACTCCTCTGTCTTTATGCCTAAGACGATCATGGACTCCCTCTATGAGAGGAAAACGATCTCCTTTGAAGGCTGCATGATGCAGCTTTTTGCCGAACACTTCCTTAGTGGGGCAGAGGTGATTGTCCTCACAGCCATGGCCTATGATCGGTATGTGGCCATTTGCAAACCTTTACATTACTCTTCCATCATGAATAGGAGGCTCTGTGGCATTCTGGTTGGGGTAGCCTGGGCAGGGGGCTTCTCGCATTCTGTGATACAAATGCTCTTTACTTTCCAGTTGCCCTTCTGTGGTCCCAATGTCATCGATCACTTCTTGTGTGACTTGTATCCATTACTGGCGCTTGCCTGCACTGACACTCACACCTTTGGCCTTTTTGTGGTCATCAATAGTGGGTTGTTCTGCATCATAATCTTCTCCTTGTTGCTTGTCTCCTATGGTGTCATCTTGTTCTCTCTGAGAACTCATAGTTCTGAAGGGCGGAGAAAAGCTCTGTCTACCTGTGGGTCTCACATTGCTGTTGTGGTTTTGTTCTTTGTCCCATGCATGTATGTATACGGACGACCTCCATCTACTTTCTCCTCTGACAAAATGGTGGCAGTAGTTTATGCCATCATGACTCCCTTGCTCAATCCTTTGATTTATACTTTCAGGAATAAGGAGGTAAAAAATGCTATGAGGAAAGTATGGAACAGATTGGTGGTGGTTTCTGATGGAAAATAAAATACTAAAATCATTTTAAAATCAAGGTTCAGGGTAAAAAAAGTCCAAATCATCTTAGATAAAATCTTTATTGGATAAACCTTATGTATCTTTGATGGGAGAATTTTTATTATTGCTTGTATCTTGTTATTTTTATTGGTTTATTCAACTTTTGAGTATCTTTTTGGTGTTTTGAGTCTAGGAATTTATCCATTTATTCTATATTTTCCAAATTAATGGAATATAGTTGCTCATAGTAGTCTGTAATGATCCTTTGGATTTCTGCATTATCAGTTGTAGTATCTCCTCTTTCTTCTTCTTTTTGTTTAAATAATTTTTTGTTTCAAAATATTATGGGGGTACAAATGATTTTTGTTTCATGAGTCATTTTTGTAAGGCTTGAGTCCAGGCTATATGTGTGCCGGTCACCCGAATAGTGTCATAGTACCAATTATGTTGGTTTGTTCCCCTCTCCGCCTCCCCGTCCCGCCGGCTGCTTTCAACTTAGTTTTATTTTCCTCTGTGCATTTCAATGCTCATCAGTTATTTCTTCCAGTTTAATAGTGAGTACATGTGGTGTGTGTTTTTCCATTCTTGCAATGATTCACTTAGGAGAATGATCTCCCATCAATTCATGAGTGGATTAATAAAATATAGTATATGTATACCATGAAGAACTATTCAGCCATAAAAAGGCTGAATGAATATCTCCTTTTTCATCTGTTACTTCATTTATTTGGGTCTTCTCTCTTTTTCTTTTTTGGACTGGCTAAAAGAGTGTCTATTTTGTTTATCTTTTAAAAACCCACCTTTTTGTCTCATTTACCTTTTTTGTATTTTTTTGTTTCAATTTTGTTTATTTCTGCTCTGATCTTCATTATTTCATTCCTTCTACTGATTTTGGGTTTGAATTGCTCTTGTTTGTCTAGTTATTTGAGATACATCATTAGTTTTTTTATTTGAAGCATTTCTGCTTTTATAATGTAGGCACTTAGGCTGTCAACTTCCTCTCATTATTGCTTTGGCTGTATCCCATATGTTGTGTTTTCTTTCCCTTTGTTTTGAAAAATTTTTAAATTTCCTTCTTTATCTCTTCATTCACTCTCTGGTCATTCAGAACCATATTGTTTAATTTCCATGTGTTTCAGTATTTTCAATGCTCCTCTTGTTATTAATTTCTAATTTTAATCCATTGTGGTCAGAGAAAAAGCTTGATATGATGTCAATTTTTTTGAATTTTATGAGATTTGTCTTGTGGTATAACATATGGTCTGTCCTTGAAAATAATCCATGAGCTGAGAAGAACAATGTGAATTCTCCAGCTGTTGGATAAAATGTTCTGTAAAGCATATCAGGTCCATTTGGTCTATAGTGCAGATTAAATCCAATGTTTCATTGTTGATGTTCTGCCTGGATGGTCTGTGCAATGCTGCACGTGGACTGTTGAGATCTCCAATGATCATTGTTTCATGGTCTACTTTTCTTTAGCTCTGATACTCCAGTGTTGGGTGCATATCTATTTAGAATTGTTATATGCTCTTGCTAAATTGACCCCTTTATCATTATATAATGACCTTCTTTGTCTCTTTTTATAGTTTGTGTCTTGAAATCTATTTTATCTAAGAGAAGTATAGCTACTCCTGTTCTTTTCTGATTTCCATTTGCATGCAATAGCTTTTTCCAACCCTTTATTTTCAGTTGATGTGTGTCTCTGTAGGTGAAGCATATGTCTTACAGATAACATATAGTTGGATCTTGTTTTTTTATACCTTCAGCCACTCTGTGTCTTCTGTTTGGAGAGTTTAGTCCATTTCCATTCAATGTTATCTATTGCCATGTTCTTATTTGAATTCTGTTTGTTTTGTGGTCCTCTCTTTCTTTCTTCTTCCTGCCAGCTTCCTTTGTTAAAAGTGATATTTTCTGATACTGTGTTTTGTTTTCTTCTTTTGATTTTTCAGTTAACTATCTTAGGTTTTTTTTTTATTTTAGTCACTTTCACTTTGGCCAGACTGATGACTATGTGCCTTGGCAATGCTCTATTTGACATGAATCCTCCTTGTGTTCGACGACCTTTTTGTATCTGAATGTCTAAATCTCTATCAATACCAGAGAAGTTTTCCTCCATTATTACCTCAAATAGGTTTTACATGTCCCTTGCTTTTTTTCCTCCATTTTTGACTGACTGTGTTGATTTGAAAGTCTTGTTTTCAAGATATGAAATCTGAAATTCTTTCTTTTGCTTGTTCTAGTCTGTTTTAAAACTTTCCACTGTATATTGAAATTCCCTAAGGGAATCTTTCATATCCAGGGATTCTGTTATTTTTTTTTAGATTGCCTATCTCCTTAATAAATTTTTCATTCATATCCTAAATTATTTTTCTGTTTTATTTGTGTTATTTTCAACGTTCTCATCAATCCCATTGACCTTACCCAGGGAGAGGTCCCTTAAGGGCAAGTTTGGGTTTTGCTCTGGAAGACTGACCAGGCAGGAGGGGGAGGATACACTGTGAGTCTGTGACAGTGACGCTCCTCTACATCTCCCCACACTGCTGTGGTTGTCACAGTCCAAGCAGGTGCTGGGGATATTCACGTTGGATGAGTGGGCTGGTCTCCAGGCCACCACCAAAATATCGCATGGGAACAGTGGGGGTTCCTATTCACAGAGGCAGGAGGCCATCTGCATTTTGTCAGCCCAGGTTCCCCAGCAGCAGTGGCAATAGTGGCTGAGCAGGCCTACCTTGGGGGTGGAAGTGGGTGTCAGGTCTGTGGGCATTCACTCCACACAGGTTTGTTGGCAGAGTATGTTGGCTACCTAAAAAATTGGAAACAGTGTTATGCAACTTTTGAGCTAAGAAATGTTTTGAAGGTATTTAAATAATTTTAAATCGAGAAGTATAATAGTGGCTAGCACACATAAGAAAACTAATCTTTATATAAAAGTTTGAATTTTGGCATTTAGGCATTTATAAAATTAATACTAATAACTTGTAATATCTGTATTTAATTTTTAAATATTTATTGCACTTAGGCCATTGATTCTTAAAGAAAAAGCACTCTTGAGAAATTTTTTTACATTGGATAGTTTTAGATTAAAAAACAGAATGTTCACTCTGCAATGTACAAATATCAAAAGGAATAAAATTCCTAAAGGATGTAAAACATTATACATGATAATATTTTTTTAAATTGTGCATAATAAATAATACAAAGAATAAGAAGAACAAATACAAGGACAAATAAATTACTAATAACTAAAGTGATATATCAAATTTACATCCAGGCATCCACTTGGTTTGCCACCTAGGTTTGGAACAGAAGTGTCCAACCAATTTCCACTGCAATATGACAGCACATGTTATTGTGGGTTTCCATAACCTAATGGGGGAAGCTCTGATCTCAAATTCCCAGAAGCCTGCGCCACCATACAGTGTGCCCCACAGAGCTAATTTCAGACATCATCAGGATGCGTTAACTTAACCATACAGCACTGATGTTACAGTGGTCTCTCTACATACTCAGGTGTATTAGCACCTGTCTCTAATGCTACACAGCAAGCATAGAAATCCTGACAACTATTAGTTATTCAGTAGCTGAGAAGCCTAGATAAATTTTGGTTGTGGATCTCCCTTCTAGGAAGTAATCCAGAGAGATGATTTTGAAAATGTTTGTGGGCAACAGAACTGTTGCCTAGAGAATCCAGTATCCCCGGAGATGAGGAGTTTATTTTCCATCCCTCCAATGACTGCATTTTTAACATGACCCACTATCTTTCTTCTTTACTTTTCTTTGTCTTCTTTCTGTTTTGTGCCCTATAAGGGAAACATTTCTTCAACATCTCATGGGAGAAATTCATCCAGGCCCCCTCTGTCAGCCATCTCCTTTACAACGTTCACACCAAGCAAAAAGTAAAATCATTATTAAAATATAAATTTCGGCTGGGCGCTGTGGCTCACGCCTGTAATCCTAGCTCTTGGGAGGCCGAGGCGGAGTAGCAATGAGTGGAACGAGGATCAACTCCCAGGGTCAAAGCTGCAAGAGATGCTGCTAAGGGGGACCTAGCATCTGAGAGCAGGCTAGCATTAAGGGGTGTGCCATCAGAAAGACAGGAAAAGATTAGGACCAGAATAAGCTGCTACCGTTAAGAGAAATTGAAGGTTTAACATTAATCAATGAGGTGCGCAGTGGAGAGGCAACAGAGGGCGTAGCCCATGATGGCTGTTTAGTGGAAAGTAGATACAAGACTTACAGGATGTTTTTTTTTTTTTTTGGTGAAGACAGAGTCTCGCTTCTGGTTGGTCCAGGGCTAGAGTGAGTGCCTGGCGTCAGCCTAGGCCACAGCAACCTCAAACTGGTGGGGCCTGGGCTCCAAAGCAAGCCTCCTGCCTGTCACCGATAGCTGGGACTACAGGGCAGGCCCACCATGGGCCAGGGTGGGGGGGGGTGGGGGGGGGTGGGGGGGCGGCTAATTTAATATAGTAAGGAGGTCATTGCCAAATTAAATTCTTTCTATTTATATAGGCGTGAGTCGGGGTCTCGGGTTTGCTCTTGCTCAGGCGGGTTTGAATCCTGACCGTTAGCCAATCCGCCCGCCCGGCCCCCCAATGAAGCTAGGATACAGGCATGGACCACCAGCGCCCGCATGGGAAGCCTTGGACCAAGGTTTAAGTAGATTTGTGTAGTGTTACATGTTAGTTCTGTCAGTGCAATGAAATATCTCCGACCATCCACCTCCTTTCTGAATGGTTAGATGATAAAAATATGGCATTGTGTTTTAGCTGATGTTAGGATTTGAGAAATATTCTAAGTAATAATAAAACATATAGCCATTGCAGGAATAAAGTCAACGTATAAGTGGGTCATGATCCTTCCAGAATGACGGTAAGAGGGGTATCAGATAGGGTAAAATATCTATATAAGGTGAAAGAGGCAGAATAGGAGCATGTGACATATAGTTTCCTCCTACGTCATTAAGGTGAGAGAAAGAGAATGCTTCTCCTATGTCCTCTATTTAGTGTTAGATG